CTTTCTGAGTTTTTTTTTTCCCTCGAGACATGTTATTTCCGTGTAGTTTTGGTGCTTGTCCTGGATCTTGTTCTGTAGCCCAGGCTGGCCTCAAACTCACAGAGATCCTCCTGTCTCTGCCTCCCATGCTGGGATTAAAGGCATGCACCACCACTGCCCGGCCCCTTTTATTTCTTAAGCACAAAGTGGCCAAGTCTATTTGTTAGACAATTCCAACAATCTTCACAGATTTGCTCTATAATTTGCAGTTTCTCAAAAGAATTAACTCAAAAAAATTGAAAAGACAGGGTAGGCTCCCTTTGAACTCTGTGTAGAGAGCAGAAATGGGGTCTCACTATGTAGACCTGGCTGGCCTAGAACTCACAGAGATCTGCATGCCTCTATCTTCCCAATGCTGGAATTAAAGGCAAGGATCGCCTTGCTCGGCCCCTCCCCCGCTACCATTTCTTTTTCTGAGACCAGGAATTATTATGTAGCTCAGGCTGCCCTGGGATTCCCAGCAATCTTCTTGTCTTGGTCTTCCATGCTGGGATTCTTTGTTTTGAAGATGGTCACTGAGGTTTCAGAAGAGCTCTGTATAGTAAATACTGAAGCTGGTTAGAACATTCAAGTATTTCAAAGCTCTTGGATGATCACAGCCAAGATTTCACCTGATTTTTAACCTCAGGAAAGATCCCTGAGTTTTAATCCTCCACTTAAGTTTTGACCCACAGAGATAATAAATGTTAGATACTCATTGAGTTAAGTACTGTGTTTGGGATTTCTTTTTCTTTTTTTTTAAACATAGCAACAGATAAACACAATTATGAAGCCACCATAATCTTAATGACAAAAATCTAGGGAAGGTAAGCCTCAAAGAGAAAGTAACACAATGAGTCATATGTGAATATAAGTTGGAAAAAATCATGTAAAATATTACCAAAATGTAGCTGACATATTTTAATTTAATAATACATCATGAACAAGAAAATATCTGCCTTATGAATGCAAGCATGAACCAACATTAGGAACTCTACCTATCCTTTAAACAGGTTAAAAGAGGGAAGGGTGCGATTTCACGAGATGCCAAAACAGAATGGATGAGATCTATAAATAATTACTAACTGAAAATTAAGAGTTGGAAAGAAACTACAACTCAGTAGATAGTACACACACACACACACACACACACACACACACACACACACACACACACACTTACTTCATAAGCTCCCAAGTGATGATTTTGGAAAGGAACTTCAAAGACAATGATGACCATTAGCTTTTCTTTTCTTTCCTTCTTTTCTTTTCTTTTTTGAGGCATGGTCTCATGTGTAGTCATTGCTGGCCTGGAACTTGATATGTAGACCAGGCTGACCACAAGCTCACAGATATCTGCTTGCTTCTGCCTCATGAGTGTTGGGATTAAAGGTGCATGCCACTACACTCCGTGGCTTTCTTTCTTTCTTTTTTTATTTCAAAGACATCTATTTGTCTTTATTTTATGTGTATGAATGTTTTGCCTGCATTTATATATGTGCATTGTATGTGTGCCTGGTGCCCAAGGAGGTCAGAAGAGGGCCTCCAGACCATGAGAATTGTATTGTTAAGAGCTTATAGTTTGACTCAACATTACATGATGACTATTTTGTAATATTTTTCATTTATTTGTTTCTAGTATTGAGAAATCCATCAACCCTAGAAAATTCTCAGCCACAATTTCTGCAACATTCTAGTACTGCACAGTAATAATTATTACCAGATCTACCTGGTGCTCCAAGACACAAACCACTTGAACAAAACCTTAATTGGATCTTCAGTTTAGCTGCTTGCCTCTTTTAGTCTGAATGTTGGGAATACATAAACAAGCCCGGTCCAGAACTCAGTTCAGAGCTTGGACTTTTCTGTGTAGTCATCTGGGGGTAGGCCACCTGTACCTGACAGTGTGGATTTCCAGATCATCCCCCGCAAGGAAAGAGCTTACGTCTGGTGTCTCAGCATCACCTGCTCAAGATTCTGGTTAAGGCTCCATTTGATGGTTCAGCTCCATGTAACCCATTAAGTACCCACGTTTAGGCTGGGCAAAAGTCAACTGTAGATCTTTGGTTTTCACACAGGTCAAGTCCCTTGAGCTGACCAGTACCCTACTTTGTGAAAGGAAAACATCTCAGGATTTTTACTTATCCATACAGGTATCAAACTTACCATATTATACAAAAATCTAGCCCCACAATATAAATCTGTTCATGAGAGGTGAGAAGTTTCTAAGTTCACTACTTCCTCTGTAGATGTAATTCTGAACGGTCTTATTAAATAAGAAACACAGAGCCAAATGCAGAGTTAAAAGCCCAGAGATCGAGCAGCAGCCAAGAGCTAAAACCACCTTCTTACCCCTCGCTGTTGGTGTAGTCCTTCCCCTTCCCCTTAATTTTCATTGGTTGTAAACCCAATCACATGACTTCCTGGTCACTGCCTTTGTATACAGACTTCCAGGTTTCTATGGTTGGTATTGAGATTAAAGGTGAGTTGCCAGGTGGTGGTGGCGCACGCCTTTAATCCCAGCACTTGGGAGGCAGAGGCAGGCAGATCTCTGTGAGTTCGAGCCCAGCCTGGTCTACAAGGGAGCTCCAGGAAAGGTGCAAAGCTACACAGAGAAACCCTGTCGTGCCCCGCCCCCCAAACAAAAACAACAACAAAAAGAGATTAAAGGCAAAGGCGAGTGTTTCCATGCTGGTTGTGTCCTTGAACACACAGAGATTCTGTCTGTCATGTGATCGGGATTAAGGGCGTGTGCTACCACTGCCAGACTTCTGCTAAATGGCTTGCTATTAGCTCTGACCCCCAGACAACTTTATTTATTAACATACAAATACAATCACATTTCAGCACAAATAAAATATCACCATACTTCCTCCATCACACCCAATTTGCTTCAAATTCAGGGTGATCCATACCGTGATTTTGACATGTATTTGCTTTCCTCCTAGCCATGCCCCTTCCCAGCTTCTCTATTCCTTGATTTATTTTCGCTCCTATCATCTCTTCCCCAATCACAAACAGCTACACCTGGCAGACCTGGGTTTTCCTCCTTCACGCTTCAACCTTCTTCTTGCTTCGCGGGTATCACAGGTGCGCCACCTCGCGGGGTACCCAGAGAAGATACTTGCTAAAAGCTGACCGTGAACTAAGTAACTATCTAAGATACAGTAACCGAGAACCTGAAGATCCCAGATTGCTTTCCCTTCCGCCAGAGCCTAATCTCTGCCAGTGGTAAACCCAGTCACACCGAAACTGGCTGGCTTGCAAAGCAAGCATCCCCAAACACTCACATTTCTGTGGGAACTCTTGTCTTAGATCCCTTTTCAGTAGCACATACCTTATAGAAGGAAAAAGTTTGGGGAGAAAAAGAAAGGAAAAGCTCCAAGCGAAATGAGATTGTCTGCGCATGCTCACTTGTGCTCAGGGAGAACAATCTTGGGAGTCTAAGACCAATTCAGTCACTAGAAGAGGAACTTGGACACTTTAGTACTGGAGCAGAGAGCTGCACCCTTAAAACGACACCTTTAGTTAATTTTAGTATCTGTAATTAAGTGACAGCACATTAACTATACGGACCTTGTATATGCCGGTGAATCTGTGGTTCCTGGAAGCTATTGCCATTTCCCGCATTTCCAGGGCACCACGGATTTCTCACAAACACAAGTAGCATGAGAAGGCGGGCATGGTGGTGCACGTGAGTAATTTTCACTTAGAGAGAACTGGGAATTCCAGGCTAACTTGGGCTAGACATCTTGACCACATGCCCAACAGACTGGGTGGGGGAGAAACATAGTTTTAAGTTTGAGGATACTTGAAACTACAACTCATTTGTTGAAGAGATACACGGCTCTGAAAAACCTTTGAAAATCAAGAGTGAAAATGCCTACTTGGCTGGTTTACTTGGTAACAGCCTTGGTGCTTGTCCAGCTCCCTGAGCCACGCAGGCGAATGGCCGTCTGGATCTACTGAGGTGTGATGGTCGGTCGCTTTTGGTAATGCGGCACGACACGACTCCTCTAATGCTACGAGCTCGAAGATGTCGTTGACAAACGAGTTCATGATGCCCATGGCCTTGGACGAGATGCCCGTGTCGGGGTGCACCTGCTTCAGCACCTTGTACACCGAGTTGCTCTCCTTGCGGCTGAGCAGGCGTTCCTTGCTGTCCTTCTGCGCACTGGTGACAGGGCAAGAGTCCTTCTGTAGGGCGGGCGCGGACTCTGGCGGCTCAGGCATTCATTGTACACAATTCTAACTCCCTCCAACAGGAACCCTAAACAAACATTTGGAAAAATAAGCATCCCGCCACCAGTTACACCCCAACCATTTACATTAGGCAGTATTCAAATGAGGTTAATAAGATTTCCTTCAGGATTGGATTAGTTTTAGTGTTTCGTCACGAATAGGAACGTACACGGCACTTGAAGGTCTACTCTTTCATTGGCTGTCTTGTCACTTCGCATTCACCAATCAGGAAGTACAAACTAAACTGCACAAATTTGCTATAGCTAACCTCTTCAAGTTCGATCGCTGTTAAATGTGGGAAATAGGGAAGTTTCTAAGGGCACGCTGTTTCTGTGGGTGACTCACCAGTGAGAACCGCGAGGAAAATTAGGCGGCGGTTGCTAGGCTGTGTAGCTTATTGAGCAGAAGAGCTTTTCATTGCTAACGATCCAACCACCCTAAATTGTTACCTCCTTCCAAGTTTACTGCCGGGCAGCGTGGCACCTAGGATTAGACCACTTCACTCTTACTGCCTCATGCTCTCGTGTCTAAATTTTGCTATTTACGTAGCCGTACATGTAGTGAACTACTATGTCAGCTAACTCCCAAAGCCCCACTTGCATACACCCGGACACCCCTTGCCCTGTACGTCTCCCGAAGCCCAGCCCACTCGCCAGCGTCCCCACCCTAGCCACGCCCCCACCAAATGCGCAACAGCTCTTTCACTGAGATTTGTGGGTGGCTCTGAAAAGAGCCTTTGGGTTGTTGGGCTTCTAAGCAGTCGGCCAAAGAAAATTTATTTCTTCTTGGCTGCGGTTTTCTTTGGCTTAGCTGCCTTAGGCTTGGCGGTTTTTGGCTTGGCCGCCTTAGGCTTCACCGCTTTCGCCTTGGCAGGGCTCTTGGGCGCCTTCTTGGGCTTAGCTGCTTTCGCCTTCTTCGGGCTCTTAGCTTTTTTGGCTCCTGCAGCTGCAGCTGGCTTCTTCGCCTTCTTTGGGGTCTTCTTGGTGCTCTTCTTGGGAGTGGCTGTTCCCGCAGCCTTCTTGGGCTTCTTGGCTGCGCCCGCGGGCTTCTTGGCCTTGGCCGCGCCTGCCTTCTTGGCTTTGGGCTTGGCCTCGCCGGAAGCCGCCTTCTTGTTGAGCTTGAAGGAGCCGGAGGCGCCGGTGCCCTTGGTCTGCACCAGGGTGCCCTTGCTCACCAGGCTCTTGAGCCCCAGCTTGATGCGGCTGTTGTTCTTCTCCACGTCGTAGCCGGCGGCCGCCAGCGCCTTCTTGAGCGCGGCCAGGGACACGCCGCTGCGCTCCTTGGAGGCGGCTACAGCCTTGGTGATGAGCTCGGACACCGGGGGTCCGGACGCCTTGCGCTTCGCGCCACCTGCGGCCTTCCGTGCCTTCTTCTTTACGGGTGTCTTCTCGGCGGGGGCCGGTGCGGCGGGCGCGGCAGGCGCGGTCTCGGACATGGCGAAGCGTATGTCAGAGCAGAGAGAACTCGAGCCGGAAGCAGAGGCACTGGCCGGGACTCGGGCCGCGGCGCTGCGCCCGCCCGTTTATATAGGGCGGAGCTGCGTCGTGATTGGTGCGCTGTCCAGCCCGCCTCGCTGGCAGCCGCGGAGTGTCCTCTTGGATGCCGAGTTGTGTTTGTTACACCTCAAAAAAAGCCAAAAATGTCAAAATTCCCTACATCGAATTGCTCGATTTTTCTCAAATAATGTTCCCTGAAGCCTCGGGCTTCATGCACATCTCAAATAGTAAGCAAAGCACCAAGCCTTCTGCCAAAAACTTGCAATATTTCCCGCGGTGCTCAGCAAATTTCAACTCGGAGAAACAAAACTTTCTATTTTCTTCGTAAATTATAAACTGATCTTCAACTGTACAGTTTTCTGACCCATCAAAGACGATTCTCCAAGTGGTTAGCTTCTTATGTGGCCCAAAACCATGCCACTGGCATTAAGATTTTTATTACAAATCTGCACTTAAGTGGGGGAAGTAACACAGGCTCCTCCGAGAGTCCTGCCTATTGAGCCGAGGGCATTTGAGTTCATCAAACTGGTTTAGTTCAATGTTTAGCAGATTATTTACCATTTTGAGTTAAATTCTGCTCTCCTAGGCCATGAGCCTATGTACCTATGGTTTTATTTCTGCCCGTACTACCTAAGTTTTTAAATAATTTCTTAAGATAATTCTTTTCTTTCTGCTCCCAAGGGTTGGGGGTGGGGCTGTTGCTTTTCTCTGTCTGGACAACTACTCCTTTGGGTTGAGGTACCTTAAATTCAGAGTATAAGGGTGTGGGGAGCGTCCAGGACATACCTATGGTGCAGACATGAAAATGACTCATTTCCAAGTAGTATATAGATGATGTTCTCGATGTCTTTGGAAGTGAAGGAGAGCTTTACTTTGAGGAATATCTTTTGAGTCTTGCATAGCTCTTCTGGCATATGTTTTAGGACTAAATTGTACTATGTTATATTAAAACTAGATAAAACTGAAATTGAACCATTGATCAAGAGAAAAATACACGAGAAGTGTAGCTCAGAACATCACTATTCCCATCTTAGAGAAACCCAGACCTGTTACTGAACAACTGCTCTCCATATATGGCTAGCCCTCATGAAGACATTGGACTCATATTTCCCAGATCTCCTTGAATGTAAGTGACATGCAGGGTGAATGAGGAGTTAAGATTTTAATCTTAGAATCAGCTTTGAGAAGGCATTAAGCAGAATCATTGTTTTCTGAAGACATGCCTTGGAAGACGTTCAAAGAGTGGGTTCAGCTGTTCAACCAAGGAAAAGTCTAAGAGGACAATGCAAGCCAACGACAATGATTATTTCTGGGAAGTTTGGTTGAAATTGTCTTCAGAGATAATAAGGCCTCCCACTACAGAGATAAGATGCAATGCTGGCTGATGGTATAACGAGATAGCTGTTGTTTTGTGACGGGATTGGCTCTAACATCACATGATCAGTTTCACTGCTCCAAACCACCACACACACAGACAATGCTAATAAAGAGACCATGGAAGTTCAACACCCTGTCAATGAGGGGTTTGTAAAATCCTGTAGTATTACCTTTAATGCTAAATTTGAAATAAAGGTGGTTTATATTATCAGCATTTCTCTGATATAATGAAACTTTTCAATTTCATGTATTAACAAACGCAGTCTTCTGCATTCACTCAAGCTCTTAACTAGAGTGGGGAGACTGTAGGGTGTTTCCTATTGAATGATGGGGATTTAACCCCTTTGCAGTGTCAACAAAAATACTCCTGCAAACGGTAAGATTTTACAGGACACATTGATGTTGTTCTCCAACATCTTTGGTTTCTTTATATCTCATTGTCTTCAAGATGGGGGGGCACTTAAACTCCCTGAATTTTGAGACAAATCAAGTCCTCTGTTTCTTCCCCTTATGATACATTTTCTGAGACTAAAACTGTTTACTTAACAGAGAAGGCAATGACCATTGCCCAATGTTAAATCAAGTGATTTTGATACTTTTCTATAATGAGGTGCAACAGTATCAAAGGTTTCACTCTTTTACATTAGTCTGCCAGCCAAGCTAACAATAGCAGAGTCACACATGTTTGGGTGAATCTTCATTCTTGTGTTTCAAATACAAATCCCCAAATTTTCTCCAGATGATTCTGACTAATGACTCTCCTTATGTCTCAAAATATGAATGTTTTAGTTTTTTCATAACATGTTCTTACCCAGCCAAGTCTGAGAGCCGCTGCAACTCTGACTGGAATGAACTGAGGCAAACTTGTTTCTTGCCATGTGAGTATTTCCGTGGAAATCTTGGCTTGCCTGTTCTGGTTTGCTTTCTGTTGAAATAAACTCCATGACCAAAAGTAGCTCGGGGCGGAAAGGGTTTATTTCAGATTACAGGTTATGGTCTATCCTCCAGGGAAGCCAAGAAGGAAATCAAGACTGGAGCCTGAGCATAAACCAGTTGAAGAGACCTACTTCCTGGCTTGCTTCCTGGCTCACATTGCACTACCTTCCTTATATAGCTCGGTCCTGTTTGCCTAGGGATGGCACTACCTGCAGCGGGATGGGCCCTCCTGCATCAATTAGAAGTCGAGAAAAGGGCCCACAGACACCCCCCTGGGCCCATCTGGTGGGAGCAATTCCCTTTTCCCAGGTGTGTCAAGTTGCCAACCAAGATGATCTGTAACACCTGCAAAAACCTGGGACCAGACAAACCTGCAGGATGTGAGCACGCGCTAGGAAGATGGGGTAGCTGCATGCAGCTGAACAGTTGGTAAACAACTGGTCAAGGAAAAATTTAATCTTGACAGGAACAGTCTCTGTAGGGGATCATTCTTCAGGCTATAACATCTGGGGTGGGGGTCATGGGGGAGAAAGCAATGGTGATTGTTTTCTGTATACACTGTTAATACTTGGACCAGATGGAAACTTTGCCATCCTTCTGAGCCTCACCAGAGGAAGGCTTTGCCACCACCTTGGGGCTAATGCACCATTTTTTCTCTCTCTCTCTCTCTCTCTCTCTCTCTCTCTCTTTCTTTCCATAACCATGTCTATGTCAAACAACACACATTTACTCAGGATTCACTCACACTCAACGCTCCTGTCTCAGCCTCCTATGTACTAGAGTGATAGGCATAACCCACTATTCCTGTCTGACTTTTAAAATCATCTCTAGGGATTCGGGAGTGTTAGAGATGTAGGACACTCGGATCATTTCCATTTTGGACAGGTTAGCAAATGTGGTAAGAGGAACAATGTGATTTGCAGAAAAGGTGAAAGAAATTGGAGGCATGTTCTTGGTCCCTTTTGCTCCCCAATTTTGAATTCTTTGCCATTTTAATATGATGCTATATATGATCTACCATAGCTAATGTATTAAAGGCAGACTTTGTGGATGAGATGTTTTATAATAAACAGAGTACTTATTTATTATCTTAGGCATCACTTTTCATGTAAGTAAAAAAAAATAAAGCTTTGGGTTGTATACTGAGAGCTATGCCTTGTAGCAGTGTTTGGAACTGTAAAAATCATAAGCAATCTTTGTGCCCAGATGAATGAGGGTGGTTTGATGAACAAGGGTGTGTTATATGATGGAATAGTACACAGCTGCGAAACTGAGGAAGCTGTCTAAGAACTAATTTGGACAGAATTACTGGAAATACATTCAAGTAATAAGATAAATCCAAAAGAATATTCATGCTGTAAAACTCTCTAATAAAGAAGGCAAAATAAGAAAGAGACTTTTTGTTCATCTGTATAGAATAAATACAGGAAAAATGAAGTAAAAATTGAGTCATTGCGCCGGGCGGTGGTGGCGCGCGCCTTTAATCCCAGCACTCGGGAGGCAGAGGCAGGCGGATCTCTGTGAGTTCAAGGTCAGCCTGGGCTACCTCCTGAGTTCCAGGAAAGGCGCAAAGCTACACAGAGAAACCCTGTCTTGAAAAACCAAAAAAAAAAAAAAATCGAGTCATTGCTTACTTATATGAGGTAGAAGAGAAATAAATAGAAAGAAAGGGTTATAGGAAGAGAGGATACATTGTTTCATACCACACTAGATTGCAACTGTAACAATGTTTGCTATCCCGACAAAACAAGCTCTTAAACAAGAGATTAAGATCAGCAGGAATCCAATAGAATACAAACACTGACAAACAGTGAAGTTGCACTGAATGGAGACCATGAGATGCCACCCAACGCCTCTTGGCCATGGGCGGGTGGAAGATACCCACAGGCCCACCTCGTGCCATTGTGGTGAGCAGCTAGGTGGTGGGGAAATGGTAGAGAAAGAGAAGCAGTATGCTGTGGAGAGAGGGGGAACTGAGGAAGTGAAGGAGATGAGGAGCACGCTGATGTGGGCAGCCTGATTGCCATCTGGCGCCATGGTGATGTCTAGGCCCAGGCTGCTGCCCAGGACCATGTCTGGGTCCGTAGTCCTACCATAGCCAGGGTCTGTATTGATGTCTATGGCCCGTGTTGCCAACTAAGGCCACAGGGTTGCCCAGGGTCTGGGATGCCTCCTGTGGCCATGTGGGTGTCCAAGAGCCATTTTGCCTCTGCGGCCATGCAGATCTGGGTGCCCTGCGCTGCCTCCCAAGGCCATGCTGCAACTGGGGTCTGTTTTGACATCTGTGACCCATGTTACCACTGTGGGCCTTGCAAACCATGCGTGTTGAAATGGGAGGGCCGTGCAGAGCTGGACCCATCGTTCATTGATCCTGGGAGATCTGGTCCTGCCCCACACTGGCTAGTGAAGCTGGAGAGCTGGTCCCTCACATGGGAGAGCTGGCTCCGAATAATCCTGGCCCAGGGAGAGCTGGCTCCGCCCCTTATGAGAGAGCTGACCTCATCCCTCACAATAGGAGTGGATAAATTGACCACAGGTGAGATGAACCCGATATGGCGTAGGTGCAGAACAGGCTATGGCGCTTGTCTGAGGGGGTGGTCCCAGCGGAAGCTTGGACTAACTCAGGTACCACCCAGGCCCACATCCAATGTTTTGAGTTGGCCCACCCTAACATGTACCCGTCATCTATGACCTGCTGAAGTGTGGTGCATGAAGTCACTAGTCCTGTGGAACCAGGGCTGCAGAATCTCCATGACGTGGGGCAACCCCAGGATACCCAAGAGGCCTTTTGGTAAGGGTCTAGTACTGATGGTGTACCAGAAGCCAGAGAGGCCTTGAAGCAGACCCACTAGTCATTGCAATGAACATTTGCAAGTTAAGCTGTTTGGACAAGAGGGTCTACAGCTTGACACAGCACCACAGCTCCCAGTGCCACTAAGGTGAATGAAGAGATGATGGAGAGGTGATGGAGAGATGATGGAGAGGTGATGGAGAGGTGATGGAGAGATGATGGAGAGGTGATGGAGAAGTGGGAAAGATGGAGGAGCAAAGTGAGTTTTTTCATTTGATTCTTGTTTTTTTCTATTTAATATTTTTATTTAAAAATTTTCCTTGGGGGGTTTGCTGTAAGAGTGAAGGGAGGTTATGGAGGGACCGGGAAGTGAGTAGGATTTGTGTGCATGATGTGAAATTCCTAAAGAATTAATGAAAAGTTACCTTTTAAAAAATGAAGACCTTGATAACATAGGGGCATTAGAAAGATAAAGAGAAACTTAAATGATGGAGGAAGACTAGTGATTGAACATTGTAAGCCCAAAGCCACAAAGACACAGCTCCCCATGCAGTGAGCTAGTGGAAGTACTTTTTCAGGAATACGAGTTATTGTTTTTAAAATAGATGTCTCTACATTAGCCTTGCACAAACTTGTAAAACATTCTATATTGTAGACAGTGAGACTAGAGTTTTCTCTTGTGGACATCAGCGATATTAATAAAATTAATTTATATTACAGTATTACTAGAACTCACTTAAAAGTGTAACCACATTTATAGCAATAGATCACAGGTCTGCCTGTGAATATGGGCAGGTCAGTATATGCATACGTCTATGTACCTGTCTTCTCTGTCAGCTGATGACACATAGAAGTCATTCACTCCTTATGGCTTTTATACACCCTTTACCAACAAAAGGAACTAACGTTCCTTCCTGAGGTTTGCTGGATTCCATGGCTAGGGCTGTGGTGGAGTATAGAATGGACCTGGAGTATGGTGCAAGGTGAGAAAATGAGATTGGGGAAAAAAGAAAAGAAAAGAAAAATGGAAGCTTCTTAAAAAATGAAGACCAGAGAGTCTCGAGGAACTCCTAATGGCCAGAGCTAGCACTATGTGACAAAGGAATAAGAATATGAATAAAAAGAATAAGAATTTGATTTTGATTTTAACCCACAGAATTATATATATATATATATATATGTATGTATTTAATTATATATATTTACACATAAATAGAGGTGGTGAAAACGTTCACATGGTTTAAGTCTAAGTAATAGATATAGAAGGAAAGAAGGAGACTATCATGCAATCACTCTTATATTCCTATAGTTGCAGTCTATGATGTATGTGGAAGAACGGGATTCCCAGAGTTTTGCGTATCTTCCCAGAAACATCTATTCACTTGAAGAAAAAGATAATGTATCCACAGTGAAGAATTCCAATAGAAACCACACTGACCTAGTAAGGTAAATTTCACAAAGTAATAAGATGTATCTGTGCCATTCTCTCCTCATATCAAGAAGTGTGTTTCACCATTTGGGCAATGTTTCCTGGAAAAAAGTATATCTTCAAGTTTGCTTTCTGTTGCTGTGATAAACACTATTCTGTTGTTGTGAACAGACACCATGACCGAGGCAACTCTTATAAAAGAAAGCATTTAATTGGGGGCTTGTTTACGGTTTCAGAGGTTCAGTGAATTATCATCATGGCAGAAGGCGTGGCCGGCATGGTGCTAGAGAAGCAGAGAGAAAGGGGGGGGGGGAAGAGAGAGAGAGAGAGAGAGAGAGAGAGAGAGAGAGAGAGAGAGAGAGAGACACCTGGCATGGGCTTGGCATGGACTTTTAAAACCTTGAAACCCACCCCAAGAGAGACACACTTTCTCCATCAAGGCTACACTTCCTAATCCTCCTAATCCTATCAAAGAGTTCCACGCCCTGGTCACTAAGCATTCAAATATGTGAGCCTAAGGGGGGTTGTTCTTACTCAAATCACCACAGGGAGGAAAAGGTTTTTTAAATCCTACTTGTTCTAGTCCATCATTGAGGGAAGTCACGCCTTGAATTCAAGGCAAGAACCTGAAGGTACCATGGAGGAAAGCTGTTCACTGGCTTGTTCCCGCTAACTCACATTCAGCCGGCTTTCTTATACAACCCAGAACCATTTCCCCAGGGATGGCATTCCCGTAGTGGAATTGGACCTCTCACCTCAATCAACCATCAAGAAGACCTCTCACAGACATGGTCACAAGCCAACATAATCTGGGTCATACTTCAATCGAGACCCCACTTCTCATCATATGACTCTGTGTTATGTCAATTGGACAATAAAAACCAGCCAGGATGATACATAAAATCACTCCAGTGAAAACATTGGACAAATGCAAACCAAAGGACAGTCTTCAATGAGTGATCAAGATTAGGGATGGGAGTCAACGGTGAGGTGTTTAGTTAGCACACACACAGGGAACTGTGTTCAGTCCCCCACTGACCTCAGTCTTCAAAAGAGAGGCCCACTGCCAAACTTTTACATGCTGGAAGAGACAAAGGAAAAATAAAAATGAAATTCCATGATATTCTGAATCATGTCCAAGAGCCAACAAAGGATGCTAGTGGGAAAATCTGTGGAACCTGGAAAAACATCTGAAGTTTAGTTAACAGTATATCGATGTCCATTTCCTATTTTTCATAAATATATACAGTTATGTAAAATACCAACATGACTGAAAGCCAGTTGAGGGAAATAAGAAAATTCTTAAATGCTTTCTGCAATTTTTCTACAAATTTAAAAATAATTCAGAATAACACTTATTTCACCAGCTGGGGAAAACAATTAAAATACGATATAGGTTCCTGCGAGTGGTAGAATTTTCATTCTTATGTCTAAATCTGCATGTGTTTTCTAAGTTTCTATTGTAAGGGTGTACATTTTATGAGCAAAGATCGTGTGTACTTCAAAATGTGATTAAGGTTTTGTTTTGTTTCTGTGCTAATTTCCTCAGATATTCAGATACTCTTCCTCTTTCTCATAACCTGGACTTTGGAAAACCATTTCAATAATTCATTTATTTTTTCTCTCTTAATTTATTATGTATCTTATCCTTGAGCAATATGATTCTATTGTCTTTTTTAAAATTATTTGAAATAATAGCACAGGTGATAGTTTGTGCCTTGATTTTTTTTTCCCATTTCTTATCCCCTCAACAAGCATTTTCCTTTAGTGTTTTGTTTATATTTAGGCTGTTTTTTTTTTTTTTTTCTTTTCTGAGCCAGAGGGTTGTTCTGTCAGCAGGGAGTTCATGATCTTCCTGGCCTAGCATCTGAAGGGCTAGGATTACAGGTGAGTCACACCAGGCCCACAGACCGGTTCGCCTCTTTCTTAACTTTGAAGAAGCTGCTTCATATAATAAAAGTAGCCCAGCATGTCTACTCATAGAGTCTCATGCGTGTGCTCATGGTTCTATGATGTGGATAATTTGTTTTTAGCCTTGGATTCTTGAGCTATCATCAGTAGTGCTGCTGATACCAGTGAATATGATAAAGACAACCGCACGTGGAGGCCGCTTAGAAACTCTGCCAAGTCCTTCTTGCTTCTGAATGCCCTAAGTGCTAGGACCAGAAGCATGAAAGGAGTCTTGAAGGTTTCCAGCTCCCTGCATCCTAGCTGTAGCCCTGAACATCAGGGCACAAGGATAAACTAACTCCTCTGCCCTCTATCTGAATTTCTGACACGCCAGCTCTGTAGGAGCAGACTCTTCTCCACTGACAGAAACCCGGAGAGACACAGCTCAAGGGAGGAGAGATCGGTCTGTGCTCAGGGCTTTAGAACTTTCAGTTCTGCCGCCATGGGTGTGAGTTTCTGCTGGTACAGACTATCCCAGTGGCAGGAGTGTGTGGTGGAGTACGCTTCTTGCCAATGGTAGCTGGGAAATAGGGAAAGGGGGAGTAGGTACAAGAGCCATCTTTCCGGGGCATACTCCTACCTACCAGTTTCCTCTAGGTGAGTCCCACCTTCAAATTTTGCCACTTCGCCATCATTCCATCATATTACCAACCCAGCAGGATACTAACTCATTACTGAGGTCAGAGGCCTCGGGGTCCAGTCACTTTCCAGAAGACCATCAGCATGTAAGACCCCAGTACATGAGTGTGTGGCCTGACCTTTCAAATTTAAACTGTAAGTGGGCAGAGTAAAGTGGTTTCTTTAAGCTGATAAATTTTGGGCATCATTATTATACAGCATGAGTTGCCTGAACAGTAATGGTTTACATTTACTGTCGTTCAGTAGCTGACTAGTTGTTCTTTTTAGGAACCCATTTTGTAAATAACCTTCGAAAAGAAACACATTTTGTATCAAATACGTTCACACATACATGACCTATTTAAGACAAAAATTTGAAGTAGCAATAGATACCCTTTTAAAATTTATTATACGGTGCCTTTTCCTTCTCCACTCTTCCTTCTTTTTTTTTTTTTTTTTTAAAAAAGGTTTATTTTGTGAATGTCTGTTTGCCTGCATGTACATCTGTGTGCCACATGCCTGCAGTGCCTGTAGAGGCCAGAAGAGGGCATTGGACCCCCTTTGAACGTGATTTACAGGCAGTTGTGAGCCATGCAATGTTGGTGCTGAGAATTCATCCTGCATCCTCCACAACAAGTGGAGTTAACCAAGTGCTGTTAACCAAGGGGCCATCTCTCCAGCCCGAGGATTACATCTTAAATTAAAGAAAAAAGCTTGATAGAGGTTATTGAGTTAGTATGGGATACCAGGAGGTAATTCTTTGGAATCTGCAGGCAAGTTAGCATTTTTGAAAGAAGTGTAGGTGGGCAATGCTCTGTATATGGGAATAAGGATTTTAGTATGTGCTTTCTTGGGATAGGAGATCTTAAGACTGTAAGACATAAGTGTTCATGGACATTCTGTTCTTAAAAGCAGTACACATATTTCTTAATTCTGAAAATAAACAAGGGTGTTCTCTATGAAAAAATGGTCTAAATAAAACAATGCTTTCATAGCTGCTAACTGCTTTTCATTAATTTTAATATTGGTTCTATAACCATTTTCCTAATTAATGCCATTTCTCTATTCAAAGGTCTTGCTGGTGACTTTAGTAAAGGAATTTCAATGAGAAAGAAGAGAATACTTATGGATTTCTTGTTCTTCAGCTTCTCTATCTTCTAGTTAGCTTTCTAACACTATAACCAAATATCTGAGGAAATGATATGGAAATATGGGATATTATAGATATGATAGGATGAAAGAGTAGATTATTGAACCTACTTTTAAAGAACAACAACTTGTTTAAAATGTTTTACATTGGTATAGATTTTAGTTTATTGATACAAATTTAAAGTTAATTGTTATATTGTATGTATATTTCTACTCTTGTTTAAGGTATTATGTTTATGTAACTCATTTAAATTGTAATGGATAATTAAGAAATACAGATTAGTAATTAGTCTTATATGATAGTCAAACTTATAGTCATGTTAAGTTTTCTAGGTATACATAGATATAATTCAATTAGGTAGATAATCTTCAAACACTTTAAAGAACTACAGAATATGGCATTTAAAATGTTTTAAAAACTTAGACTTTCCTGGACAATGAGACACGTCTGTTCCTGGCAGCACCAATTTACTTCAGAGAGAAAGATGGGCATAGAAGACACTCTATATGGAGTTTATCTTCTTCTTGGCAAAAATAGCCATTTGAGCAAGAAACTATTCTTGCCTGGGCTGCTTGACAAAATGTTGTATGGACTGGACATACAGGACCCATAGGAAGGTGACCACTGAACTTTGCAAGGCAAAAGGGTCCTTTAGGTTCCTGCTTTGCAGAAGAAACTGCCAGACATTCTACAGGACACAGAGAGAAATGACTAAGAGACTCTAGGTCTGTAGGCTGAAGATGAATGCCCCAACACTGCAGGTGAACTTTGGGTGACTGTCCAGGTAGTCAGCTGTCTCTGTTATTCTAGATTTTTGGAAGTTGCTTATAATGCTCTTCCTGTTTAGTTAGGTAATATTGTATCCTTCTGAGGCCTTTGATGTAATTGAAGACTAGATAGTTATAATTTTCCTTGGTTATAATAAAAGATAAATTAGACATAAAACTTTAGACTCAAAAATATAGGATATATAGAATATTTTCTTTAATTTTGCCAAATACAAATAGACTAGATATTATAACTATAATTCTTGCTTAATTACTGTTTTGTTATATGTAATTTTACTATGTTAAAGCTAAACCCTTCCTTTTTGATTAGACAGAAAAGGGGAAGTGCTGGGGATGTCTTTCTGTATACTGTGAATGTGTTGCTCTGATTGGTTGATAAATAAAAAGCTACTTGGCCAGTAGCCAGGCAGGAAGTATAGGTGGGATGAGCAGACAAGGAGAATTCTGGGAAAAGAAAGGCTGAGTCAGGAGAGGCCAGCCTGTTGTCCAGGGAGCAGCATGTAATGACACA